AAAAAAAAAGTTCTAGATGTTTAGGTTTATGAAAATGATTTATGAACGAAGTTTTATATAAAATATATATTTTATGAAACATGTTGAACTCTATACCTGCTAGAAAATCAAAGCCATAAATCTAAACTAGTTGTATTCCAAATGTGAGGTTGATATCTCAAAAAATGAGCTTTCAGTAAGATTTTGTTTGGGCGCAGTACCAAATTTTCCCCATTAGATGCCAGCAAAACTCTGCTGGTGCACACAGTGGTTGGATTTGTGATTTGCAGTAGAGTTTTTCTCTCTCAAATATTACAAGAACACACATGCTAGGGCTGTTGCGGTGAGGGAATTTCCCTTGCGGTAATTTTGAGTGGAGCGTGGTATGCGGTATTATCACACCCACACATTTTTTTTTTTTTATGACACACATACAAACCACACTCTGACATCCATACCAACACACCCAAACAATTATAGCTGCATTATTTATCCAATTGGCTCTATAATATGCAGAAGCAGAAAACAGAAATAAAGCGAGTATTTTCTTTATAGGTCAAACCTGAAAAAATGGCACCATCCGGTAAAAAAAACAGTAAAAAATAAAATTTTAAAGACTTGCCAATAGAATGAAAACCTATCAACAAAAATTGCATAATTTTACAGTTAAATGGCACTGCGATTAAAAATAGCAGTTTTAATGGGTTTCAATGGGGACATTCTTGTCCTTGAGGTCCTGAGAGGAAACATTTTTTGTACCTAGTGCAAAACAGATTTATTAAAGGAAATGTAAGTGAAATAGTAAAATTCCAATAAAAATACACACCTGTGCAAAAATGTATGCACTTGGCAATAACACAGGCAAAATTATAAAAATAAAAAAAAAACTGAAAAGGACAAAAATGTCCAAAATGTCGCACAAGGGTTAATATCACTTAAAGTTCATAAAATCAAAAGAAATTTTGCCTTTTTTTATATATACTTACCAATGTTAAGACTTAAATAAGTGTATAATATTCTATAAAGAAAACCTATACTGACTTGATCAAGACATATAAAAGCCTCTAATATACAGTATATGACTTCAAATACTAAAGATCACCATGTAGCAATTACAATTCACTTTAAATTAATTTAAAATAAACTTTATTAAAAAAAAACATAACATCAACATAAGCCTGATATAAATAGCTGAAGATTGTAAAAAAAAAAAAATAATAATAAAATAGGTTCAACGGCTCTGTAAAATTAGTGTTGTTTGCATATGCAAACTAGTGCTTCGGCCACAAATGCGAAACATCTGAGAAGGTGTGATGGTTGTAGTGCGGCAGTTCTCAGAGCACGTGGCGCTGTCGGGCACAATGTAAAACAGAGCAAACAGTTTCTTGTTCACAGAGATTAAAATAGGATGAACTCATTAATAAAAAAAAGGAATTAATTATTATGCGTTTTAGGTTCGAAGTTGCGTAGCTTGATAGCAACAAGCAAATCTCTTACCTTTTTAAGAGTTAGCCATGCTGTTAGCTAAGGCTAAAAACAAAACACAACGTCACGTGTTTACAAGTTAAAGAATAAAACCGAGCGTCTGTTAATTACCTGAATATAATTGATCCGTCATGTCTGTAGTTTACGGATTATCAGTTAAAATCCAACCACAGTATCATCTTTTCAACGAAAGCGAGGAAAGGCACTTGGTCAATTTAAAGCCCCGCCCATTTCCCCAAACAGCCAATTGGAGCTTAAATGTAGTTCCTCTTTATTAAATTGTGGCCAACGGCAGAGACGCGTGCTGTTTACAACTACTACACGGAAGTTGTGTGCACTGGGCATCCTACATCGATTAGAAATTCACTTTATTAGATATAAAGATTGATAGTTTTGAAATTGCTATATTTAACTGAGCCGTTACATTTATTTCTAGCGGTGATTAATGAGAACTGAGAGTAGATTTCGAGACGAATCTGTATCTGCAGCTACTCGGCCTTCGGATTGTTATGGGAAAGAACCCATCGTGTCCTTGGACCAAACTGGCTCCAGATTATCACTATTCATACAGTAGTTTGGATTCAAAGATATGCTACTCCTTAATATAATTTGGTTGAGAGCTAAACCCTCAAGGACAGTACATTTCGTGTGACCCTGCTCGATTAAATGTGAATTTCTTATTTATTAAATATTTATCACAATAGTGTCATGATGATAAAAGCAAACGTGTCATCCTCTATCAAAATTAATTATAGTGTGTGTAAATTAGTATGCGCAGAATAGAAAGCTATGTAGATGCATTCATTATCTGCTCCTTTAATTAAAAAAGTTTCTTTTTTTAATTCCCTCTTTCTATAAAATATCAATATATGCATGAATAAACAGCAGTATCAGTGCTGCTGATGCAGTCTGTCCCAATGCTCCCTAGCAACCAAACCTCTTCAAACATCGCGAGACCGCACGGGGACTGAGTTGAAGAAACATGGCGACGTCTCATTTATTGAAGGTAGGAGGTTCCTGGATGTGAGAATATTTTGCATCGTTTGCGTCTCCCGTAATGTTATAACAGCGATCCTATGACCCAGTCACTGTCCGCTTCTAATTGCATCGCTAAACATGACGCGTTGACTTAAAACGACATTGTTCGAATTGTTGTTTGTATCTAGTGGGGCTTTGTGCTATTATTATGATGTTTAGGGTTCAGAGCTCAATTTTAGGATGCCTTTTCTCACTGCACAGTCACAAAACTGACTGCTATCTATCATGAGGCTGCATATGGATAATGAGAAAATATATATACATGCGTATTTTTTCCTGAATAAAGTTGCAACATTGCAGAAGCTACATTTATTCAGCCTGTGCATACCTCATTTATGTCAAGCCTGAAGCTCACCTGATGCCTCTGGTTTCTAATCATACAGCTGTAATAATTGATCTACACGTATTAAATTGAACTTTACCTTCTGTTACTGATTTGTTTGAATACTTGACAGGAAGTAAAATACTCAAAATTCTCCTGTCTTCTTGCATGTGCATAAATGCATAAGGCCTATCATAATTTTAAAGAAATGTTTATTGTCCTGGTTCTCCTTTTTCAGAATAAAGGCTCCCTGCAGTTTGAAGATAAATGGGATTTGATGCGGCCCATTGTTTTGAAGTTACTCCGTCAGGAGTCAGTTACTAAGCAGCAGTGGTTCGATTTGTTCTCGTAAGTTGTCTTCGATGTGAGAGTCTGGGCTGACAGAAATATCAAGGAGTCAGAGTACATCGAGACCGATGTGTTTTTGTATTTTTATTAAACTGACAGTTCTGTTTGGGTCTGATGGTCAATAATATCAATCAGGACTAACAACACGTTTTAAACCATTGTTTACATTGCTTAAAATGTTACACAGTGAATATAGTCAGCTTTTCGACGTTCTCTAAATACTGTGTTTGATTTGCAGAGACGTCCATGCAGTGTGTTTATGGGACGACAAAGGCCCGTCAAAGATTCACCAGGCTCTGAAAGAAGACATCCTAGATTTCATCAAGCAAGCACAGGCGGTACGTACTGTATACTACTTTTGCACATATAATAAAGTGAAGTAAGTTCATTTTTCTCTGAAGAATAGGTAAGCCTTATTTCTATAATCCTGAATGTTTCAATGCATATTGTTTCTATTCTTACTCTTTCTGATCTACTTCAGCGAGTACTTAGTCATCAGGATGACACGGCTTTGCTTAAAGCTTACATTGTGGAGTGGAGGAAGTTCTTCACACAGTGTGATATTCTACCTAAACCCTTCTGCAAGTTGGAAATCACCCTGCTGGGCAACCAGGGGAGCAATAAGAAGTCCAATGTTGAAGACAGTATTGTTAGAAAGGTGGATTTTGTGGATTTTAACCATATACTTTACATCAATCTAAACTATACTGCCTTTCTCATTTAAATGCAGTTATTATTGTAACAATTGATGCATAACATCAATATACAAATCTATCCTAATCATTTGTTGTCTTATTTGTAAGCTTATGCTGGACACATGGAACGAGTCTATATTCTGTAATATAAAGAACCGGCTCCAGGACAGTGCCATGAAACTGGTCCATGCTGAGAGATTAGGAGAAGCGTTCGACTCGCAGCTTGTCATCGGAGTGCGGGAGTCATATGGTAAAGCTCTCATAATACTGAGCCTCTCGGGTTCTGTCCAGATGGACCTCTCCTGATGGACACTCCTGTCTTCTGCTCTGTCTTACAGTGAATTTGTGTTCCAATGCTGATGACAAGCTCCAGATCTATAGAGAGAATTTTGAGAAGGCATATCTAGATTCCACTGAGAGGTTCTACAAGACACAATCACCTTCCTATCTGCAACAGAACGGCGTTCAGAATTATATGAAATATGTGAGTGTGTTTTCAAACTGCTTTCCTACCTAAACTAGAAAAATGTGGGTGACACTAGTTTAAATGCACTATGTTGTAATTTTAATATACTTATTATTTATGAATTTATTTATATATTTTTGTATAATATTGTAGTATTACAATAGCAATACAATTATGTCTTAGAATTATTACTATTATTATATCCCCTTCAGAACAATTGCATCTGAGGAATAATGATTTTCAGTTTCAGTTAAAAATTAGTAAAGTATTTTCTTTACTTAGATACTGTTCAAGTTTTATTTGCTTAATGTTGTGGCAATTTTTTTATCCTGTAGTATCGAAGATGGTATTGAATTGCAGTAATTCTCAAGGTATTAGATTGAAATTAAAAATTCCAGTATCGTGACAACACTAGTGGCTTTCTGCTCCAGTGGTTTATTTAACAAGCTTTTATGTGTATGAATGGTAAATCACAGCACATATCTGGAGTGTCATTATTATGTCACAATATTTGAGAGTTGTTCATCCCAGATGGTGCTTTTGATTGACAGGCAGATGGCAAGTTAAGAGAAGAGGAGAAGCGTGCACTTCGATATCTGGAAACCAGACATGAATGTAACTCCGTCCAGGCAGTGAGTGTTCTCTGCTCCAAAACAACAACCAGTGGTGCCGCATTATTAAATAATGCTCAGCATGTACTGTAGTGTGCATATGTCTTCCTCACATTACTAACACTGGGTGCTCGGTTTGTGCCTTTTGCATTCATTCAGCTAATGGAGTGTTGTGTGAATGCGCTGGTGACGTTGTTCAAAGAAACAATCCTGGCCGAATGTCTGGGAATGATCAAGCGGAACGAGACAGAGAGTGAGTACGGCAGGAGCTCTGGCACCAAAGGCTCCGCAAGTTCAGGTTGGCAATGGGATACGGTTCCCATCTATATCTGGCCAAAACCTCCCCACCCATCCCACCATCTGTGTGTTTGTGTGCCAGTCATTGAGTCCACCAACCCATTTCAACTGTAAACAAACAGCATACAACTATTGTATGTAAAAGGAATGGAAATGTCAAATGTTAGCGATACCTGCCTTTTGGCTTTAGAGCTTCTTAGACTGGGATGTCATGTTTTTAGGATCACAATAACAGCATTTTTTAATGTTACTAAAGTGTGTTTTTTGTGCTGTTGGTGTGTTTCCTCAGAGCTGCACCTCATGTTCTCGCTGATGGACAAAGTGCCCAGTGGGATTGAGCCGATGCTGAAGGACCTGGAGGATCATATCATGAGCTCAGGTCTGGCTGATATGGTGGCCTCAGCGGAAACCATTACCACAGTGAGTAGAGACAGTAACTGCTTTTCATTATCTGGCAGATGCATCATGGGTCCTGTATATGCATCCAGTTTTTGGTAGTGCAATCACTGAGCGATCTAGAAAGAAATTTGTTTTTATTTATCCTTGTGATAATATATAATATGTCTCCAAACTGTTTCTGAAAAAAATGCTCTGACATTATTTTTTTTCAGGACTCTGAAAAATATGTTGAGCAGCTCCTAACATTGTTTAACCGCTTTAGTAAATTAGTTAAGGAAGCATTCCAAGATGATCCACGTTTCCTAACAGCCAGGGATAAAGTAAGTGTCAAGAGGATTTATCCTTCAAACCATTCACTGTAAAAGGATATATAAAAAAATATATTTATAAATATTATTTACAATTCTTTTTTAGATTTATTGGATAAAATAATATTACAATATATTTATATAAGCTATATAAATATACATTACTGTTCAAAAGGTGGGAACAGTAAGATTGTTTTTATTCAACATGGATGCATTAAAGTGATTCAAACTGACAGTTTTAATCACAACACATTTATAATGTCACAAAATATTTCTGTTTTAAATAAATGCGGTTCTTTTGAACTTTCTATTAATCAAAGATTCCTTAAAATGTATTAACTGTTTTCAACACTGATAGTAAGAAATGTTTCTTGAGCACCAAATCAGCATATCATATATATATCATATATTTCAGAAGGATCATGTGACACTAAAGACTAATGGCTGCTGAAAATTCAGCTATGCCATTACATTTTAAAATATACTAAAATAGATAAGTTATAATATTTCACAGTATTACACTTTTTACTGTATTTTTGATCAAATAAATACACCCTTGGTAAACCCCTTAAAAAATCTCACTAACCCCAAAATTTGAACGGTAATGTACTGTATGTGGGTTTTTTTTTTTTGTTTGTTTGTTTTTTTGTGTGTGTTTTGTTTTTTATGAAGTGGAGAAGTGGTTTCCATTTTTCCATTCTTATTTTATTATTTTATATGCATATTTATGCAGGCATACAAAGCA